TGATATTATATGATCATCCAATGATATCACTCTCGTACTTATATGTAATTACATGAATAATCCTTGTTATGCATTTCTACGTGCATAACATCCCTCATTACCCCTTCCCCTGTCGGGTTGAGCTATACCTTGTGATATGTCATGTTGAATGCCAACGAGGCATTGACTACGAGTCTGTCACCTGTACCGAACAGGCAAGCACCACATGGCCCTTGTGTCATTTGAAACAAGCTCTTGCTAGGACTCGGTGTCCGATTTCGAAAATTAACCCGACCTATTTCACCTCTTCAGATAATGGGCCTATCAAGTTTAAGCAATTTGTTACAATAAAACAATGATTAATGGGCTTTGGCTTTCACCCCATTTAATGTCTAGCAAGATCTTTTGCGTTAAAGCTTCAACCCATTGCCCAGCAATTATAGAGCCTGAAAACAAATGAAAAACATTAAAGTATACCGTAGAGGTACATCCTCTGCTTTTAAATACTTGTTTCACTTTTCTTTTTCGATTATTTTTAAAATACTTGTTTCATTTCTTTATTTGAGATTTTTTTTATAATACTTAATTTAATTATCTCGACCCAACATAAATCATATGTTACTAATTTCATATTATCTCTCTTTCAATTCTCTCAACTACTTTTGCTTTTTACATTTTTTTATTCTTTCCCTACCCTACTACCTTCCTATTTTATTAATTTTGTCAATTTCTTCTAAAACTCCGCGCATAGAAAAATGGAGCAAGTATATAAAAACGGAGGAAGTATAACATCTTGAAGAGCTAAAGATTATGTCCGATTTTTGTTGTTACACTGTACGGCGTATCAAGTAATCACTAATTTTTATTTTATTTTTTATTTTTTTTGAAAAAAGTAATCACTTAAGTTAACACAATGAATAACAGTATGCATATTTAAAAAAAAAAGAAAAGAAAAGAAAAGAAATCAACCATAAATTGTTAATTACAATTTCTAAAGAGGTGATGCATTTTCAAAACTTCTTAAAAAACGTTGTTGGATACTAAAGTAAGAAAAATCAAGAAAGGAGAAGAATAAGTAAAAACCCAACTATATTTGTTCACAATTAGAAATAAGTCACTAGGCTTTTCTAAGAAAGTCACTTCCATCATTTTGTTTAAATATAGTAATGATGATTAATGCATACCTACCAATTTGAAGAGCATTACCTATCTTAAAGAATAAATTACTAGTGCAGTAATTTAGTTTTCAATTAGTAAACCACTATATATAAAGCTTAGGTGCACAACTAAAGATGAATATTATGACTATGTGCATAATGGTTGCTCCATTAATCAATAATCTAGTAGCTATTTGTCTATTTGACAATTGACATATTCTCATAGAAACACCTTCTATTAATGGGTGACTTGTAACGGGAATAGGTTCACATTTATCGTAGTGATCCGCATTTACCACTAAACCACAACACTTTTACTAACATTTAATAGCAACAATTCCTTTAAGAGGTACTAACTTGAGGCCCTAAGTAGTTTTGGATCATGTGTTGTTGCAAGTTGCACCACCTCCTTAGAGCCAGACCTGATTTTGGATACTGTAAATATTAGAATCGATTCCAGAATTACCTGGAACCCAAGGGAGAGCTCGAACCAATTGAGCTATCCCAACCCTCACTCTCAAATCGAGCATGCCTATATATATTTGGGAAAATAAATTGTTTGGTTTTATGAGTTGGGCAAATTTGATTGATGAGTTACTTGCATTGACTAGGGCAAAATTCGAGTTTATTGTTAATTCATAGCAGTCATTCGCTCATACAAGTATATACGAGTATTAATAGATTAGATCATATAGGTCATGTTGTATAGAGTTATTTAGGCAAGTTTTCTTAAGCTTCATAGAAGTTGTAGTAAAGACTCCAATCTAAACTTTGCTATGTTGCAAGCTTGCAAATTTCAAAGATCCCATTTTCATTAAGCTTATAGCTAGTAAAGTAACAACTCCCTTAACCGGCCTTAACCTACTTCAGAAGGTAGTTAAGGTACATAAAACCTACTTGTATAATATAAACCCACTACTAATGGTAGTGTTAGTAATAAAGTGATACTAATAATTTGATGTAACACGGAATGTTGCAAATAATAGAATCACACAATTAAATATTTGATATAGACACATATAAAAAAAAAAAGTCACCAAATCCTCAACTACTGCTAAAGTACTAATGCATTATTAAATGTGTTGGTTTCTGATAGCTACATTTTGTTATAGATGCTTCTAAGATTAAGGTTAATTAATTAGTTGAATAATGAATTATATCTAATTTGACTCATTTGAGACACAATAGTCTTTTGGCAGGACATTAGTGGAGCCAATTGCTGCTAGAATTAAGGGAGTTTTAGAGTTGTACACCATGTTAGCTTCTTAATTTAATAACATGGGAATTAGCATGTAAAATATATAGTATGAGATTTTCTAGGAAGGAAAATCTACTTGAGAAAAACAAAGGATTTGTTAAACTCTTAGAATCGTTGTGTTTAGAACGGATAAATGAAACTATGCATCGTTGCTCGAGATACTTGTTTTGTTCATGGATAACTATTATTAGGAACAATCAATATATAATGCTTCTTGTCGGCTTGTGTAGTTGTGTGTAGTTCTTGCGTGTGTACTGCTAGTCTACTAAGCACATGTACCTTACAATCTCACATGTTAGTGTAGCACTTGTGTGCTTAAACTCGTGATCTTTTTATCACGCTGACTCTTGATAACTTATTAAATGTTTAACTCAATCAAAAATTTAAAATGATAGTTAACGTATGATAAAATCATGTTTCAACAAAGTTAATAATTTAACCTTATTGTTTACATAGAATTAAAACGACTTAACATTATACCAAATCTTGTTCATCCACCTTTAATTAATTTCATGTAATTGTTCTCCTAATTATGCTTAGAGTCTTAGAGACAGCTGGAGTACTAAGATTGTTTAAAGTGGTTTAAATACTTCGGGTTTTTTTTAATCACCAATCGGTTGATTTCAGAGGATTACAACTATGCAAATGGTGTCAAATTGTAAACAAACAATATGTTTGTACAAAATACAAATTTAAATTGTGGATTTGTGGGCCATAACTAGCAAATCACAACTCATTTAGCTCTCACAAGTACAATATGGGCCATAGTGTGGGCCACATTCAGCGCATCATGTGGAGAAACTAAAGATAAATCTCTCATGTGACGCTTTTCAGAAAATCTAATCAAACAGAATTTCTCCTGCAGATACCGGTCAATTCTCTTAAATAAATGACAAATTATGAGTAAATAACATTTAATCTCGAGTCATACTGTATTATTCTGATGATATTATTTTTTTTGATGCAATATTCTGACGATATTATAAAATATTACTCCATAGTAAAGTAACATACACAATAATAAATACGGAGTATAAATCTCTCATTTACTCGTAAATTGTCGATAAAGTTTCAACTTAATACTAAAAAAATAAAGGCCCTGTTTAGTAATAAGCTTATTAGGGGTATACTAGCTTATTTGACTAACTTTAGCTGATTGACTAGTGTCAAACAAGCTAATACAAGTGTTTGGTAGTAAGCTTATTGAAAGAACTTATTCCACTAAATAAGCTCTTTTTAAAAAAGCTCATTTTAGGAGCTTTTTCAATTAGCTTTTTCATTAATTATTGTGAAATGACACTTATAACCTCATTTAATTTAAAATCCTATCTAAACTACCTACCCCACAATTAGCTTATTGGTCATTTCACATACTCAATCACCTTTAAGCTACAGCTTATCAAACACTTTTATATAATCAGTTAATACAATAAGTTAGTCAAATAAGTTAATAAAATTAGCTAGTCAAAATAAGCTAACTCAATCAGTTTCATCTTTCAGCTTTCTCCCAAATAGGGCCAAGGTATTATGTATATTACATTTTTGTATAACATTATCCTTTATTAATTTGTGTTATTAATCGATATGCACGGTTAAGTGTATTATCATTCCTAATATCTAGTCATTATTCATTAGACTTTTGACTTAAGAGGATAAGTAATAATCAATGGTTCCTTAAAATGTTACTGTATGAGATAAGATTCATAATCTTTTATATATATCTTAATATTTGGGAGAATAATTGAAGTTCATTGAACTTTATGATGCCAATCATTTAAACGTACAACACTCTAATCTTTGTGATTCACTATTGTATAAGTATATAATCAAATTTGATTGTTCTCCTCATACATAAAATTTGGATATCAATTGATAGGGTGATAATGATGTGACGTCATCAAATGAGAAAAGTTGACTTCTCATACTTTCTCACTAAAATAAAATTTGATTTCTCACTTTCTCGATGAAAATAAAAACGAAGTAAGACCTAACTCCCTCAATAAAAAAAAAGCCTTTGCATTAATCAAGATTCACACCTCAAATTAAAGACTACATAAATCAACTTTGATTTCATACAATCCTCACTTTGATTTTATACCAAGGTTTTGAATTGAATCCACTTTGATTCCTTATCAAGGTTGGATCTCATATCTCTATCTCCCCTTGTTTTCTTTGCCAAAATACTCATCCTTCCTATAATTGATAAAAGATTAAAAGTTCCTTTCATTTGTTTAATGACACCATCAATACCTTTTTCTTTTTTTTTGAAGTGTACTCTAATCAAATAATCAATTACTTAAAATACGAGTTACTTTTCATTATTTTTATGCTTAACATACCTAACCAAAAAATGAAAGCCACGAGAGTTGTGGTCGGTTATATACTTATACGTGTACATTTTTGACATCTCATTTAATCGTATCACTACGTTTACAAGGAATTAATAAAAGAAACATATCAGCTGATCAAGCCACTAAAAGACGCGTTTTATAATATGGTAATTATCTCATATATGGTAAATAGATCATTCTGTTTTATTTCCTTAAAGAAGTGATTCAATGAAATCAAATAAACTAGAGGCGATTTGATTTGTAGTTGTGAATATCTTTGTAGTTGTCACATATTATTTTCTTCACTCTTTCAAAGAGGAACAAGAACAACCACACTAACAAACAAAGAGGAGGAGAGAGAAAAAGTAAACGTTGGAAATTTCACACAGAAAAAAGGGGAGCCGTTTTGTTTTTCTTCCTTCTGCCTTTCAATTTTCTTCCTCTCTCTAAAACAGCTTAACTCTCTCTCTCTTAATTCACCATGAAATAAATGCATCGTTGAATTATAAAGAGAAAGAAAGTGTTAGATTCTAAAAATCCCCATTTTCAGAGAGTGTGAGAAGTTCAAAAGAGTTCATCAATGGCGGCGATTTTGAAGCTAATTTTACTGGGTTTTGTGTGCTTTACTGGGTTAATCATAAGACCCTGTTTGGCTGGCGATCCTACGGTTACCTATAATTTTGTTTACTCTTTCAAAAACCTTTCTCCATTGGGTGTTTCTCAACAGGTTTTTTCCTTTTTAATCCAATCTCCATTTTTTCCTCTGTTTTGTTGTTTTGGGATTTTGATATGAATGTGGGTTTTTCTGGGTTTTATTTGATTTTCTTATTCATTTTTTATCCCCAAATTAATCGACTTTCATGGTGTTTTTGGTAGTATTTATTTAGGTTTTTATTTTGGGACTTGTTCTGTTTCTGGGGTATTTTTTATTTATTGGGTTTGTTTTTATATATTCTGAATAATTTTTAGGTTATTTTTTGTTTTCCTTGAATTTAGAAGGGTTTATTATTTCTCGGATTAATTTTTTTTTACTGAATCAGTTAGTGACAGTAGTACAATGTACATGGGTTTGATTGTTAATCTCAGAATATCAGGATGATTGTTAATTTGTTGAGATTTAGTATTGATTAGGATTTCAATTGTTGATGAATCAAACAAATGATTGATTTATGATGACTATGAATATTCAATTGATTTTGTACTTTAATTTAATGTATGTACTTTTGGTGGAATCTCTGATATGAATATTGTTAGGTGAATAATGAATAAATATGCTTGTAAACGCAGGTTATAGTGGTCAATGATCAGTTTCCGGGGCCTATAGTCGAAGCCGTGACCAATAACAATCTTGTTATTGATGTGAAAAATAAATTAGATGAAGATCTTCTGGTTAATTGGTAGGTTTTGTCTTAATAAGTTTTGAGATTTCTATTATTTATTGGTTGGTCCAACTAATGTATTTTCGGAATTTTGAACATTGGAGATAGAGAATCTATATTTATCCTTGCATCTAACACTTTACATTGCATTCTAAATGAGATGTTTTATGAGTTATTCCTTCAATGAATTAGCTTAGAAGTGAAAACTATTAGTGTATGAGATTTATGCTTGCCAAAGGAATGGGTTTTGAATAGGATAATTCTTGGCACGACGGAATGTGTGGAACAAGGTGTGTCATTCCTTACCTATCTGTTTCAGTTCCAGTGACCATTTGAATTTTATTAATAATCATGCCTAGGATTATCTCGAAAAGTATACAAGTATATATAATACGGTGTATAGTTTAATAAAAAAAGAAGATCATGTTGCATCTCGATATATTAGTTTGACAGTGAAAGCTAATAGTTTATGAGATTAATGGTTACTACAGGAATGGGATTCAAATGCGGGATAATCCTTGGCAAGATGGTGTGAGTGCAACAAACTGTCCTATTCCTCCCAAAGGGAATTTCACATACCAGTTCCAGGTCAAGGACCAGATTGGAAGCTTCTTTTACCACCCATCTACTCACTTTCAAAGGGCTTCTGGAGGGTTTGGCCCCTTTAAGATTGACAACAGGAGTGTCATTCCTCTACCTTTCCCTAAACCAGATGGCGATATTGTTCTCATGATTGGGGATTGGTATACCAGAGACTATAAGGTAGCTCTGGATTGTATTGCGGCTATTGCCATACAAAAGTTAATTTTAGTATGTATGCTAATGTATAGTTATTCATCTGCACTAGGAACTGAGGGAAGTCTTAAAAGCCGGAAAGGATTTGGGAATACCTGATGGGGTTCTTATCAATGGAAAAGGACCTTATCAATATAACACCACCCTTGTTCCTGGTGGTATTGAGTATGAGAACATTCCAGTTGAGCCAGGTATGGTCATGTAATGATGTCACTTTCTTGTCTTTCAGTGTAGGATATGTATACATCCTTGGGGAAAAATATCATTTAAGAGTTGCTCTTTAAATTTAATGTTTAGTAAATGTATGTTGGAGATGAACTGTTTTGTAGGCAACACTAGGATTATATGCTATGACTCATCCATGCACAGGTCGTTTGTTAATATCACTCTCTATATCTGCTGATTCTTAGTCGAAGTATTAAGTATACAATTGTTTAACTTTTGGCACTTTATTTTGAAGCATTAAGTATAAAATTGTTGAGTGTATGCAGGCAAAACGTACCGATTACGAGTACATAATATTGGAATCTCAACCAGTTTGAACTTCAGAATTCAAAATCACATTTTGAAGTTGGTTGAAACTGAAGGATATTACACAACGCAAACAAACTACAGCAACTTTGACATCCATGTTGGCCAGTCATATTCATTTCTTGTAACAATGGATCAGAATGCTAGCAGTGATTATTACATTGTAGCAAGTGCTAGGTTTCAGAATGAATCTCAATGGGAGCGAGTCACTGGTGTAGGAATTCTGCACTATTCCAATTCTCAAGGACAAGCTGCTGGCCCTCTCCCTGACCCCCCTAATGATTTTTACGACAAGACTTGGTCTATGAACCAGGCAAGATCTATCAGGTAAGTTCTCATCAATCATGATTCACCACTAGGCTGCAATATTTGCAAATTATAATGAACGAGAGATTTTCTTGTAGTATTGAATGTGTTTTTCTGTCGCATACTTATGAGCAGGCAAAATGGATCTGCGAGTGGAGCTCGTCCTAATCCACAAGGCTCTTTCCATTATGGGACCATCAATGTGACACAGACTTATATTTTTCAGAGTTTGCCACCAACAGTTATTGATGGAAAGAAATATGGTGCAACTCTTAATGGCATTTCTTTTCTGAAACCTGTCACTCCAATATTGCTGGCTGACTTGAAGGATTTGAAGGGCGACTACAAGCTTGATTTCCCCAGCAAGCCGCTGACAGGACATCATCGGTTAGACCACTCAATTATCAACGGCACATTTAAAGGATTTGCTGAAATTATATTTCAGAACAATGATACAGTGATGCAGACCTTTCATGTGGATGGATTTTCGTTCTATGTTGTTGGGTAAGATTTGTCTATTGCTGAGCCCTATTACATGAATGCTTAAAGAGACTTACTAGGTGTATTGCAGGATGGATTATGGTGTATGGACTGAGGACAGGCGTGGTAGCTATAACAATTGGGATGCTATTTATCGCTGCACTGTACAGGTTTGCAGAGATTATTCCTCCAATATCTTTTGTTTTGTTTACAAATTTTTTTTTCCCTGTATCTGGAAAACAATTTACTTCTTGATTTTGTAAGGTTGTATCTGGTTCAAAGGCTTCAAGAAAACATATTGAACTAAACTTTATATTCAATACAATGTAAAAAACATATTCTGTATAAATCAATAAGTATGTGGTTATTATATTTTGTTAAACAAAATGTTGGAGAGAAATGGGAAAATAGAAGGGGGAGAGGAGGAGGAGAAAGTGGAGGATAGAGAAGAACACGCCTCATTTTTATCCTTTCTGAAAAGGAAAATATTTCCACCCTTGGGATAAGTAGTTAAGTACTTTCAATCAAAGAAAATTATTACCACTCTTTTATTAGCTAAATGAAGAAATGCAGTGATATTAGTTAAAATGTGGAAAATGTTCGTCCTCCAACACAACACATTGTGACATTGATGATAGCTGTATATTTTGAAGTTGCAGGCATCGGTTTTTTTCTTCTTGCTGAGACTTCATCAAAATCTGTTTAATAAATATGATTATGATATCATTTTCTTGATATTTAATTTATAGAGTATTTGATACTAGCTGTATTTTCTTGGTCACAGGTCTATCCCGGGGCTTGGACAGCTGTGCTTATTTATCTCGACAATCCAGGGACGTGGAATATCAGAACAGAAAACCTTGATAGGTGGTATCTGGGCCAAGAAACATACATAAAGCTTGTCAACCATGAAGATAAGGGCACCCTATTTGCTCCCCCTGATAATGTTAGATACTGTGGTGCTCTGGCCAGCTTACAGACGAAGTAAATTCCAAACACTGGCACTTATTTTAGCTTTTGTTCACTACTTTGCATTTTATACTTGTTTACTGATCCTTGCTGATATCTTTTGTACAGAGAAAATCGGGCACCATCAATCAATGGGAACATGAAGTTGGCTGTGATAATGCTGGTGGTCGTCTTGGTTGCTCTTGTGGATTTGCACTAGAACATTTTATTATTTATAGTGTTTTTGTCTTCCATAGATAGGCACATGAAAGTCTCATAAAATAGTACAGAGTTTTGATGTGTTGATATTTGAGGCCGAAAGCGGCATTGGTGTAGCTTCTCCAACTGTAAAAACAGCCCTTAGCTAGGGCGTTTCCTTCAAGTGTTGATTTGATGTAGTTCGATGGCGATAAGCTAAGCTTAAGCTATTTGGAAATACCATTAAAATTCTACTAACACAGTTTAGTTTTATATTGGCAAGAGTTTTTTCATCCTCCTTCCTTCCTTTTTTGTTTGGCTTGATTTTCTATTTTTTCTTTTTCACACAGTAAAATAATGAAAAAAAAGGGTATAATTGACCCAAATTGGTCTAATTACAGAAAGGTTAATTAGTGGGCTGATAGGTCAATGGTCCAGAACACCCTAAAGCCCTATGTGCTTTCGGATGGCCCAATTTATTAAGAACGGTGAATGCCTCTATCCAACCCAATACCTTATTTATGCGTCAGGTCGCAAATGGAACAACCAGTCTAATTATACCCCATATGTTAGAATTTGTTATTTACATCCGGTTGTATATAACAAGCTCTTCCATATATTGTACTAGGTTAGTTCCCGTGCCATGCACGGTAATTTTCTACTTCGTATATATATATCTATTACGAAGTATTAAACTATTATTATAATTAGTTTTTTATTAACGAAAAAAAATCTAAAAACATAATTGACAAATTGTGATCAAAATAAAGGATTATACGAAAGATATGCTAGATATAAAATGATGTAAATATTTTTATTACTATGTTAAGACTTTTTATTTATAGCTATATAAATATTTGTGTCAATGATATGTCAAATCTTTTTTATTTTAAGTATATTTTATAAAATTAGGGAATTATTTTATATAAGATTTGTTTGTTTAATATACTCTGTAAAATTTTATTTTTTTAAAAGGAAAAAAAAAAACTAAAGTCATACCAGGAGATGACACGTGTCATTGCTGATGTGTCTTTTAGTATATAGTATTGATTCTAGCCACAAATGTATATATTCAAAAAAAAAAAAAAAAAAAGCCACAAGTTGTATTCATTCAAAAAAAAAAAAAAAAAAACAAGATCTCCCATATATTGTATTCTAGCCACAAATGTGGAGTATCTATTGGTAGGTTTGTTATGAGTCCAAACCAAGAGTTATGCCCCTAAAAGACACCAACCACATCCACTTCAATTTTTTATTTTTTATTTATTATTATTATTATTATTATTATTATTATTATTAGATTGATCCAAAAGCATAGATTATAACCTTTATTTTTGATAAATTTTCGAATTTTTCAGCTCAGAAAGGAAACAGGGCAAGGTTGTTCCCATGGACCCCACCAGATATCGTGATACTATTTGAGATATTGGAATATCCCTTTCACCTCTTAAATATCAGTTTAGCTTATTATATGCATACTTCCATTCATTAACCCAAGACTACAATATACCTTTATGTGACTAACTAATTGTGGTATATGATTCTAATTTTTCTAAACAACATTATATGACCTTAACAGTTAACATACATACCTTATCTTATTATCATTTGTGAGTTTTATAACCTTCAAATTTAGCCTCATATAACATTTTAGACCCAACAAGGTTTTCCAAGCAGTGGCGGATGCATGTATGTTTGAGTGGGATCCCTATATCCTACTTGAACATGAAAAAAAAAAAAAAATCCTATAAAAGTAAATTTTTTTTCCTATAAAAATTACTTGTATTTTATTCAAATGATCCCATTAAAATTTATCAAATGTATTTTATCCCCACTTAAATGTGTTTTTTAGATCTGTCACGGTTCGTCCCGAGATTTTCCAAAAGATCCTAATAGATTTACTCGGTGCCAGAAACCATCTAATATGGGGGTGTTTGTTTAGGGGGATAAAAAGGGTGGGATAAGGATAAAGGATGAGGATAGAATCGAAAAAAAGTAATGTTTGTTTAGAGGGATAGCCGGATAGGGATTAAAAAGGGGTTGAGGATAGGGTTAAAACACCCCCTTATCCCTTCATTTCTATAGCTAAGGGGGTGGTATAAGAGGAAGTGATAAGAACTAGGCTAAAAATACCAAATTACTCTTAATGAAATTGAAAGAATAAGGGAAAGGGTAGAAGTTAGTAAGGGTATTTTTATAATTTTACTACTTATCCCTAATTTATTTCTCACACTTACCAAACATGAGATAAGAATTATTTATCCTTGTACCACCTATTAATTCCCTATCTTTATCCTCCTTCCTTATCCCTCTTATTCCTATCCCTCCAACCAAACGCCCGTATATGGATTGGCTCAATTTTCTTAGTAAGTTAATCGGTTAGTCAGATCAGCACAAAAATGTTTTTTTGCTTTTCTTTTACAGAGGTAAATTTTTTAAAAAGGAAAATGAATTAAGCTTTTGATGTGAAAGTAAGAGCTACACCCTCTTAAACTTGATAAGATCAGTAATTATCCCAAAACAATCGATTCAACCTAAATCAAATTAACAAACATCATAATGGATTATGTCCTAGCTAGTTTATGAATATGCTTCAAGCCGCAAATCAAACAAACAGCCAGGTAAGTAAGCAGTAATTTTATACTTAATTTATGGTGAGCATAAATTGAGGGGTATAAGAAATTTTTTTAGCAAATTCTCAAACTCTATAACCTACTATATATGATTCTTAGGCCTGTTCACATTTACTGAGCTGAACTGAACTGAATCGATTGGAACTGAACTGAATCGATTGGAGCTGAACTGAACTGAGGAAATTAAGAGCTGAACTGAACTGAAATTATGTAAATGTGAATAGACCCTTAATACACAATAATTTGAGATGGATAGCAATACCATTACTCTATCACCTCGACCTCATTTTGTTATTTTGTACACAGTCGCAACACACGGTTTCTTAAAATGACACAAACAATACACATAGGTGTAAATAAAGGTATATGGATTTAATAAGTCCCTTAATTGGTGGCTTTGGTGCATGCTTATAACCCACTGGGCACTTGCATGCGTGATGCTAGCTGTTTGAACATCCAACACACCCATTCCATTGCAAAGCTAATTAAGCTATTTCGATGTATAATTAACCGTGATTAGAGGTTAAAATCAGTAACAGTAAGAAAATTAGAGGGATAAAAAGGTTATAATTAGCATAATAACATTCACATGGAAATGTTTCATAGTATGAAGAATGATGTTATCTTGCTACACAAAACATCTTTATTTTGTCTCTTTATATTAAAAAAAAATAAAAAATAAAAAATAAAAAAATTCATGCCCTAATTACTCAAAAATAAAACTACCCATGTGCATGTCCCCTTCGTTGAATTGTCATGCGTATAAAACACCCTTTGACATAAAATAATACCAAATATTATTAATATAAATTAAATAATAGTACCTTAAACTAATGCAAAAAAAATATATATTTTTAAAAAAATGAATTAAAAAAGTAATTAGAAGGGTCCATGACAAAGGACTTTATAGAAATTTTAGGAACTACTTTAGGGGCGCAAACTTCTTGGATTCCACGTACTAATCATGTCTTGAAGAAGAGCATGCTGGATTTTAAGAGCATGCATAATAAGTATGTCACTACTCCCTTATTTTTGTTTCTTTTCACTATTATAAGATCATATTTTATGTTATTCTTTATATAGATAACTTGTCTTCTTTTCTCCACCATATCCATCTAAACCTAGCTAGTTCACACTCTTCTTCAATTCCTAGCTTACTCTTTATTGGCTCTTTCTCTCTTTCATTCCTAGATTGCAAATGTATATATGTAGGAGTTTGGATGCACAAGAGAGATGATAATATAAGGTGTCTTCTCAATCGATAATGAATGCTCCTACAATGAGCTTACTTCCTCAGCTCGGGTTTGTGTCTAAGTGTATGTATAGTCGCGGTGGTGTGGGAATAGTTACATATATATATCCGTCATATTCAAATTTCTCCCTATTATTCCTTGATCAATATTATTCAATTTATATACTCCTTCATACATTTCTCAAATACCCTTGTGATATGTTTAGTAAACATGTCAATCAAAGTCATTAACTTTATATTTTCATTAGCTTAGCCTTGTAATTAATCATACATACTATAGTTGTAGGGTTTTAGTGCATACAGTTATATAGTGGTACAATTGTGCAGCTTGCTTCATGCTCTAGAAATTCCTGGTATTGCTTGCTTTGCTATGAAGCTGCATGCACGTCTTACTTCAATATATGTTTATTGCATGCATGTTGTAGATTTTCCAGTCTTTTTATTTAATAAAAATAATTTTTTCTAAACATATACTATAGGTTATTAGGTTTAATTAGTTATTTTATTTTATTGTTTTTTTTAAGAAGGAATTTAGTTATTTTGATGGCCATTTTTTTCAATATTTACCCACCTAGGAAGTTAGGGAGAATTTATTTAATGTAATTACTAGTTTATTACTACAACTTGAAATGCAAATCCTTTTCTTCCAACGTGAATTCTCTATTTATTTTTATTTTTTATATGAGCAAAAAAGTTAAAATAATTTTATAGGGTTTATAATGATTGTATTATTCTAATTTAATTAAGTTCATTTTCAAAACTTTATTCTTACTATTTATATGTTCACAAATCAAAAACTTTCAGCCTATTGATTTATTTTAAAAAAAAGTATTGTATGCAAAATACTACGTACAAGGATTTTTGTTGTCAAAAAAAAAAAAAAAAAAATTCCTAATTTTGCTTTTAAATATACTTCACATCTTTGCGATTCTTTTAGCCACATCATTTGAAACGAATTCCTTTAATTAAAAAAGAAAAAGTGGTACGAGTATTGGATATCCGTACTTGATGTAAGGATTTTTATTCAAACATGGCTTAATTACAAAGTATTGTATGCTTCTTAATCGAGACTAATTGATTGCTTTGTTAAAAGCTTTACTCTACTTTAAGCTTTGCTTTCCTAGAAATCATCATAATCAACCAACTGTATGCAAAATCAAGGCTAAAGACACACATTCTTGTTTTCTTTGTTCATCTTTTACTTCTTAGATTGTTTACGACGAATCTTCTCTCATCTTCACTTACCACTTCATAATGTCTCTTATTAAAGCTCAACAAATAGCATGATTTAATTTAAAGTTTTTTTTTTTTTTTTTTTTTTTTTTTTTTTTTTTTTTTTTCTAGAAGCGGTAATTTCTAAATTAATTAAGAAAATTATTTATGAATCATTGTCATTTTAGATGTGTAAGTTTAATTAAAAGCCTAGGTACATCATCAACGTTTATAGTTAGTTTCCCAAAATTGAAGAAGAACGAACCTAAAAGAATATGTCAATTTATATATAAAAACACACAAGAATGACTTGTGGATATAAAACATTAATTTCATAAAGTTTATACAACATCATTAAAATTCATATTAAAAATAATCTCAAGGTTTACACATACATTTTGAGACTTGTTTGATCAGTGTAAACATCGCGCATAGCGGATGCATATAGTATTTCATATAGTCCGCCATATATCATGTGTGAATGGGAAAAGCTAGCCATAGAAGCTCAGCCCAAAACTCGTATTTTGATTAGTTTTGTTATGTACAAACTGAGCCCTAATAATCTTCCTGTCCCTTTATACTTCACTCTTGATCTTCTATAACCTGTATTCATGTCCTTCATGATTTCCAAACGTCGATTTGACTGCTTGAGGTTAGTGTAGAGGTCTTATCCGTTAATGAATCTTCCTTATTCGAGTGGTCTGATATCGGAGCAGAAGGGAATATCCCTGATGCAACATTACTCGACGAATAATTGTTGTTGTTGTTATCATTATCATGTCCCTTTGCAACATCTTCGTGGCTAAGTTGTGATGCAACAAACTTGTCTAGAACCCTCCAATCAGTCACTTGATCCAAAACATCTTGACCATTATTATTATTGTTGTTGTTGTTGTTTCCTAATAATATTGTTGCATTATGATTGTTGTTATCAATTTGTTGCATAGTAGCATTATTCGAGTGAAGGCTCATGTCTATACCATAAGGGGCTAGGCCGGTGTTATTGTAGGTACCGGTACCATGAGGTGAGGCTAGGAGCATCTTGGAGTTCTCAAAGAGAGGGAGGTGAATGAGATGCTCTTGAGGAATTTGGAAAGGTAGATGATGATGATGATGTTGATGATTGAGTTCTTTTTTGCAAGTGTGTGAGGCATAGTTGAGCGCGTTGTTTGATTGTGGTGCTTGTTGAGGTGAATCCATGTCTGACATAAACGAGACTTGATCTTCGTACCAACATGGTGATTCATGCCCGCTCATTCTTCTCATTGTTGTGGGTGTTCTCTTTTTGAACACTCTACACACCGCCCAACCTTCTTCCTGTGAACAAAATTAACACAAGCATGATCTATTATTATTAGTGAGTGATTATTATTACCTTTACAACAATCAACATGTTGTGTTAATTAGTATGTATCTCGATCCATGTAGAAACTATAGCAACATGAACCACTCATATATATACTTGATAACTTGTACTAATCTAATGGACCGCGCCTTGTTACTCCTCCCCTTGAAACAAAAGGTAACATAAGTTACCTAGTCTATTTTAATTATTCTATACTATCACAAGAAATTATAAATAGGGCTAATGTCATAAGATTTTAAATCGATCTCAATGGTAGAAACGAACCCTATACTACACTAATTGGAGTTAGCTGACATCTACATACAATCGATTCTTTTTACAAATGTAACATAAGAACTACCTTTGGAGTTTGGACAATACATGAAACAAGTATGATATTCAAGTGCTAGTCTTCATTTTCAACATACATGACATAATTACTTCCATTTCTGGCTACCCTTACATTACATGGACATACAAATAATAAAAGGACAATATGATTTGTCAAGGTTGTTCATTGATGTAAATCTACTCAAATCAATGATGATACCCCTATAAGACTAGCTATAATTCTGTTGCATGAAAACTATATCAAATTTGTTTATGCACATTCATTAACAAAATAATACCACACATAAAATATCAAAGACCCTATTACCCTAATCTCAACCAAAAAGAAACTAACCTGAGGAGCTCCATTTTCATCAGTTTCAAGTCTATACTCATGCATGATCCAATCCGATTTTTGTCCGTTTGGGGCTCGACCTTTATAGAACACCAAGGTCTTCCTCATGCCTATCAAGTCATGCTTACAGTATATAGCCTTATCTCTTCCAGTTGCCTTCCAAAACCCTGCTGCAGTTGCTCGATTTGTTCGAGTTCCAGTGGGATACTTCTTATCCTTGTGACTAAAGAAATACCATTCATTTTGATCATCATCTCCCGTTTTGCATAATTCTGTCCCATAATACACAATTAGTTAATGAATATGATTAATATTTGTGCAAGGAATTTAATCAAAAATATAAGTTTCTCTTTTAAATTACCTTGTAAATCCCAAGGCTCGATTTTATATAGATCAATCTCTTTGATGATATCTACTTCAATTCTTCTTGAGCAAACCTTTCTTCTAAGATAGTAATCCACAAGCTCTTCTTCAGTTGGATGGAAGCGAAATCCAGGGGGGACTTGTGTTGATGTATTCATGTCTTTCTCGTCTTTAACAATTTAAATGTTTAACTGATGATTCGAAGCATAGATAATGTGAGCAAATAAACAACATAACAAACAATGAATTTTTTCAACTAAAAGGACTTAATTCACATAAATTCATCAAAATGCGTCGAATGCAAACACTAAAAGGACTCAATCCAATGACTAAGTTAATGTAGTACAAACTAATAACGTTTAGGGCTTTTCTAAGCATTGTTGTATTCAAAGATCAAATTAGCCTCGTATTATCCCTATCAGTTTTCGATAATTTAAACATGTATAGTATTAAGAGTAGCCTCGGATAATTAATTAACACGACAATCATATAAGCATCAAGCAAATACAAAACCTGAATAGACAAGTAAAACAAGGATCCTTACAAGAGGAGCCAAGTAGACAAGCAGGTAAATGTAATAATAATACTCTCATACCTAGCAATGATGAACCTCACTTTGCTCTATAACAAAGGGATGATGGTGTATGAAATTAATTACCCTTATGAGTTGTAGTAAAATTAACAACTTTTTTTATTTTATTTTTTAATAATTATTTGATGTATCACAGTATGTTATTATGTTACAATGTGAGATTAATAATTTCGAATGTTTAATTAAGATAATGACACCACTACATAAATAATAAGTTCACTGCCTTTATTATAATACGGAGTAATAATTTTCTGCCCTTTTTAACCCATTTGAAATTAAAACCCTACTTGAGAGGGAAACTTGATATCATATATGTCGTAAATTGGTAATCATGAACCTAAATGTTTAGAATTAGAAATCATAGAAACCTATGTTTGATTTTCATCGATCAAAACTAAGTCGGTCGTATGGATACAAAAATTTGCAAAGGTTAATATTTTTCAATCAATAACAATAGATATATAGTACACAGAGTACTCTATATATCATCATATATTGTATTAACATTTATCAAAAAAAAAAAAAATTAAAAAAAAGATACAATAATAAATCCTATCAACCTTGAACCATAGGTTATTATAAACCTAGACCTCACTTGATCCAAAAACAGTACAAAATAAGAAATCAAGGAAAATTATAAACCAAAGATCATTGAGTAGTAATCATCAAAAGATTCATAGATTACAAATCATATTAGATGAAGCTACTCGAGTTCTCTAGCTTAATAGCACTAGACTACTCTAGCTTATTCTCTCTGTTCGAAATTAATTTAGTGAATAGGTTGAAGCTCAATCCGGATAGAATAGTAATAACAAATTAAATATGATGATCAATTTTATGGAGTTTGAAACCCTAGCAACATACAAATCTAAAATCATGCACGAAAAGCTTGAAAAAAAGAGAGAGAGAGAGAAAGTTACCTAATAAGTAAGTAGGCTTAGGTTATGAATCCAGAAATCCACAGATCTGAAGTGAAAGAAATGTTGCACTACTTTGCTGAAATCAAAGCTAGAAATATAGAAAAAATAAAAAAGATGACTTTTTAAATTTTAACAAACAAAAAGGGGGAATGTTTTATCCCAACCAAAGCTTGCAGATGAAGACCCCAAAAAGTAGAGGCAAAAAGAAGAGTACAAGGGACAAAGGAGAAGGAACATTCTCCTCCTTGGTAATTGTGCCCAACAGATGTTTGTCAAAATGCCTCAACCAACAACCCAAAAAAAAAAAAAAACACCCCTTTTTATTTTTTTTGATGAAAGTAGTTAATTAACAAAGATGTTGGATGAGAGGATTGTTATCGGGATAATGTCGGTCCAGATCCCGATAACACGAAGATGGATGGATGGATGAATGAACAAATGAAGGAAGAAGAAACCCAGAAGTGAAATGAAGAAGATATAACAAGAAGGGATAGGTATATCTATCGTTGTCGAACCGAAGCTAGATTGGTGGGGAAGGAGTCTAAAGGATTCTGGGTGAGAAAAACATGGCGGAAACTAATGTAGGAGAGAGAAAGAGAGAAATATAAAAGGTCGAGTTATAGAATAATGAACAAAAGGGGTGTATCGTGTATGTGTATAGGAATCGTTAGCTCAAAGACTAGATAATGGTGTACCAGCCATTGATGTGGACTTGAAGAATAAGGAATGTTGTTGTTAAGTTTGTTTGGCTTTTCTTTCTTCTCTTCTTTGCTGATCTAAGCTTGTTACTGTCAAACTGATTGAGAGAGGAGAGAGAAAGAATGGAATGGAAAACGGGGGATGAGTTTGGAGGTAACGGAACGGACCAATCACACTACTTAAAACAAAGAAAGCTCTTCCTCACTCTCCTATTTTTAAATTTATTTAAAAAAAAAAAAACAAAATTCTAAAAAGAAAGAAAGATTGGAGATGATGTAAAAAAAGAAGTCAGCTATGGCTTTTTCTGATTTTTCCCCTTTGATGGTAAGTTTTACCTACAATTACTTTTTAAATATCTTTTTGTGTTTTAATAATTGGATTAGGTCGTCAGGTCATGGTAGCACATACATCAATATTTTAACCAACTAAGATAATTCGTAATTGACATTAGAGAAGTATTCACTTTGCTCGATCTTAAAAGCATGATTTTCTTTTCTAAATGTAAGAGCTTAAGATTAATACTTCCCCCTTTCTTTTTTACTTGACCTGGTTTGACTTTTACACTATTAACCACCCATCCTTTGACCGTCATCTTTTGTGAATAATATATAAGGAAAAACATATTCATGTTGAATCTTTTTGAATTCGACTAAATAAGTACAATCATAATCTATAACTTTTATATTTATTTTTTTACTTATGAAGAGTTAAAATTATTGATCGATACAGTTTTGTATTGACAATTAAGCGTGATAAATAAAGAAAACAGGACAATTAAAAAAGAATAGAGTAGGTAACTATTAAGATGCTTTTTTCTCTGATCTTGTGTGTAGATAGAAGGTTGAGTTTTAGTTAAATACATTAGATGATTTAGATCGGGTTTTAGTTAAAAATATTTATATATATACTAGGGTGCAAGATGCATTTAAGGGTATTTTTATGCTCTTTATTTTCACCATCAACAAGATTTCATTCAAGTGATATTAAAAAGTCTCATAAAAGCTTGGATACATCTTACACTCGGGTAAGTAACTAGATAAGCTACCATATTTCCCACCGTTATCACATGATTACAAGAGAATTGATCAAAACACAACCTACCACTAGTATTGAAAACGATCAGATATCATCAGTGAATGAAATCAGTGGAGTAGTTTCATGATTGTTTTAGTAGATCACTCCCACAGCCGTCAAAACTTCCCATTCAAGGCCAAGAATACCTTTGAGAAGCATGTTTTATGTACTAGCCAACGTAACCTAGCCCATACCTTGCCTTATCTCTACATTTGTGGGTGTAATTCACTCAAACAACCACTATCGAACCAAGAACGTACTTTAATCCAAAAACTAATTGTTTCATTTGAAATTAACATGTTTGTCAACGCGCAACTTTAATAATGTACTGATCTCAAGTACTAATATGTTGTTGATGTTACGTTAGCTCCTCTCATTAATTGGAATTTGTGACGTAATAAGATCTTTTTCATGTGTTAAATAGAACATAAAATAGTGTTAATTATGAAAGAATGAACGTGTGAAGGTGGCCCCTAAAAGCTCAAGCAATTGATCTTGATGACCCTACTATTGATATTTCTTCACATCTCCAAGTCTTAACTTGAATAATGTCAAATAAGTGTCAACCTCTAATAAAAATGATGTTCAAAATTTCACATTTCATGGCAAATGGGCCCATACATTCTCATTTTTAGTTTTCATCTTTCTTCATGCCTCTAACAAGACTGTCCCCAGTTATCTACTTGATCGATCTTATTAATTACACCTTTTTAATTTGTCTTTACCTTCATAATTGCTCATTAATTCTACTCTTAACACTTTGTTTCCTTTCAAATTATTACTCCCAACAATCGATTAATCATCGGTTTTACCTTTCATTAAATTAGATTTTACTATAACCACGTACGTAGTTACCCTTTTTAGCACTCACAATACGTCATCACATACAAACTAATGGTACTTGATGTAATTAGTAAAATGTCAAGGGTTCTTAATTGTTAATGGCTGTAATTCTTAGAGTGAGAATTTCTTTGTCCTTCTATCCCCTCCATCAACAATTTTGACTTACAATTAGACGGATTTATATACATCTTAATCTAATACTCCGTAGGATTAAATTTCTTTTTGTTTGTAGCTAGAGTACTTAAATATTTTACTTTTAAATATATACCTTTATAAAATACATGCATTTAGATCTTTCGATAATTGATTTTTCTCAACTTATTTTAATCAAAAACAACGGAGTATTTACTTTAGGCTTTTAATTTTTGTAATATTATTATCTTCATGACATCCGCATCAATAATTTGCTGAGTACCTTTCTTTTACCAAGTGTTAAAATACATGAGTGTTGAGTATAGGTAATTTTATGTTACCAGGTAACGCTTGACTCACTTTATAAAGTTAGTTTTTTAACTTAGATCTAAGAGGATCATCTACCTCTCTACTCCAAAATATCTTAACAAACGTAATTTTTACCGATCAAAACATGTACCAATTATATTTACTAGTACTAATAAAGCCATAGAATTACTTTATATTCTTGATTCTATATAGTATATACACCTTAAATTAAAAAATTAAAAAAATAGGGTTGTCATGATAATCATAAAAAAAGGAAGGTTTGAGGTTTGGTACCAAGGGTTTGGAATTACTATAGTATAGTATAGTATAGAAATAATCAAGAAAATAGGGGAAATAATGATATAATAAAAAATGGAGGTAGCTCGTCACATATACGCCACCTCCCTTAACCACTACCGACCGTCATCATTATACAGGAAACAGGATTGTCATCCCACTACTACTTCTACTTCTTCTCTATTTTTCTTTTTTTTTTTTTTTTTTTTTTAAAAAAAAAATATTATTAAAACAATTGAATTAGGTCATTCTAATTAAACATTGACGAATACGGAAGGTCAAATACCGTTTCGTTGTTCCGTTCCGTTTCAAAAAGAATGACGCCGTTCCGTTCCGTTACGACGTCATAGCAGCTGGCAAAAGGTAATTGGACATTGGCGTAGAAGGAAAGGGGACCCGCTTACTGACCCCACAACTACTAACCCCCTCTTCCCATGGCGTGGCCTTTAAATTAGGCCCCATTTCTATCATTACTTCTTTTTTCCACTTGCCCCTTTTTTATTCTAATTTTATTTTTTTAAAAAAAATTTATATAAAAGGAAAAAAAAAAAAAAAAAAACTAAGTGTTAGAGGACCAACTCAACCAAAAGCTTAAGCTGATGGTTGAGGTCCAAGAATATGTTTTATACTCTATCGTTCCCCCTCACATAAAAGGCTCTTTGGACTTGAAATGTGAATGCAACACAGACCCTCTCATACCCGGCGCGAACTAATTTCACTTTGAAAGAGGGGTGGATGAGATTCAAACTCGTAACCTTTGTGTCACCCTGGTCCAGGAATATGTTTTATACTCTATCGTTAAGTACTTGGTGAATACTTGATCTATTACCATACCTTCCTTTTTTTTTTTTTTTTTTTTTTTTTTTTTTTTTTATGTGGGGATGAAAAATCATTCACTGTTTTCTAAATTTATACTTTGATTTTCTACTGGAATGAGATGAGACCATTTGGCTACTCTGGTAATTAGGGTTTGTTCACTTCAGCTTAATTTCAATCCAATTTAACTCCTAATTTCCTTCCTAAATTAAATATTCATTTCAGTTCAGTTCACTTCAATAAATGTGAACATGCCCTTAATCGCCTCAATATCTAACCTTGGCAGGTTCGAAATGTTATTCAAAAGCTATATTTAAAAGAATCTGTGTCAAAAGCTCATGTGATGATATGAAATGCATCTTAGTATCTTATCATATTTTGTTTGGAATGAACTAAGTATGGCCACTATTTGGTTACACAAAGGCTTCTGGTAGCTTTAAGTTAAATGAAGGGAGGTGTATCAGTATCTTACTATATTGATAGTTTAAAGGCAAAGTGAATGATTTCAACTATTCATATACGGGATCTCATGGGTAGAAACATCTCGTTCTCTAACCTATCCAAGTCCAAAAAGGTTGATAATTGTTCAAATATGAAGGTTATAATCCACGTTTTAGATCAATGTGATTTATTTTCCAAATTAGAGTGAGTGTGGAGGATGTCCCCTGACCCTTGAGATCATAAAAAGTTGGAGAGCCGATACACATACAACTAACCATTTAATTGGATTGAGAGGTAAAAAGGCTCATTTAATGTTCTGAAAATAAGCTTAGTCATCTATTTTGAATTAACGCGGAGTAAGATGTCAAATAAAATGGTAAGGGTGAGGTTGAATTGTGGCCCAAATTTTGTGGTGTAATAACTAAGGCCCAAGTCCATATATCATAAGATGAGGAACTTGAATGATGATCAATAATGGACATGAAACTTCTACTCGTAGTATAGAAAATTAGAAAGATGGCGGTGGACTTGATTAGCCAAGAAAATCAAGTATTGTGTAAAAAATTCTAGAATTATGATCAACTTCTAGGATGCAAATCTAGAGAATTCTTGACACAAAATATCATCACATCATCGCCATATACAAGTTTTTTTTTTTATGCAAACCGCCATATACAAGTGTGTGTATATATATATATATGTGTGACTTGGGCACATATTGTCAAGAAAGCAATAGCCACACATACACAGAGCCAAATACCCTTATTGTAAGCCTTCTCATACAATTTACCTTCTTTACAAATCCACTATTTCTACTTTGTAATACTCTTTAAACAGTAATATAGAAAGAGTCATATTGTAATATAAACCTTAAAGGGATACTTGTACTCTCTTATTTTCAAATAGTGGAATAAAAGTACTCGTCGTTACATAAAATCGTGTGTTCATTTATATTAACTATTTTGCCAATTATCAATTCAATTTATACTTTTTAATCAAACACACTTTCGCTATGCACTCACCAACCCTAACAGGTGACACACTAATTCGAGATTTAAAATCAAACTTATTTTATATCAATATTCATTCTAAATAAAAAATAAAATAAAATAAAATATTTATTTGGCTGACTAGAACAAGTTTGTTTTTTTTTTTTTTTGAGGGGAAGCCGGGCTAATGCATTAATTAATCAATGGACAATTTGTCCGAGAGTACATAAGGGGAGATCATTACAGGACAATGATTCACCCAAACCTGTTCAACACCAAATGGCATTAGCTTAGCAAGGTGATGGGCAATAATGTTACCATCCCTTTTAACATGAGACCAAAGAAAAGACATAAAAGCACTACTGGTCGACAGAATATCCTCCAAAACTACATCGAAATCTGATAAATAGACAGAAGCTTTAGTGAG